ATAGGACTTGAGGTCTGTCCCGTCCCTATGGAGAGATGCATAGCATCTTGGGTGACGGGTGATTCACTGACATCGGCCCTACAGTTGGAGCTGGACTGCTGTAATTCAGTGACGGTGCTGTACTCTTCTGCTGGTGTCATCAGAATCTCTTTTGCTTGTGGCTTTAAGAAATGTTAGCCTCAGATTACACGTGTGCAAGGTTTGCAGCTGAATTGGAGCTTTAGGAGCTTACAAAGTGTTCTGTCAATGAACGCTTTGTGAGGGCAGATTCATCTCTCACAATATCCATTTTCTGTTGTTTGCTCAAAAGCCATTAGATGCGTGTAACTGTGCTTCAAAAGCCCCCAAAAAAACCTGTACGGCGGATGAGTTTACATGCGCTTGCATTAGATACTTAAAAACTGTTAACACAGTTGCACAGCTGTTAAAAAGAATGCTTAGCCCTTCAGAATGTGAGTGAAATTATCTTGCTGTCCTGAAAGTGCAAAGGCAGCATGGCTAAGGAGACTTCAACTGTGCCTCTTAAAATGGGAAGCAAGATCAATGTTGTGTTAAAAAGAATGCTGTACTAATCAGTAAGCAACTTTTTTTTTAACAGCGAACATATTGTGCAGTTCTGCTGTTGTACGGTTGGAGCATCTAGCTTTGTTTGTGCTTTAAGATACGGCATCCACAAATAAAGGATTAGATTTGAGGGGGATCTGTGGGTCCTGGTACAGTCACGTTACGAGACCCCTGTCAGTGCATCCAGTGCACAGTGTCCGCAGCACTGCAGGAACAAGCTCTGTAGTGATAGGAGTGGCCTTACTGAGTGATTTGAAGTGCACATCTCTGAAGTTGATCGAAAATGTTTGCATGAAAGAGAACTTGCACCACTTATTATTTGTGATGGTTCATTTTCCTTGCACCCCCTCATTTTCTTTCTTTTTTTTTTTTTTTTTTTTGCTGTCTGCTGTACCCTATAGCTCACTCAGATGGAATACAGTGTTCAATATTAAGATGCAATTATTTTGAAGTTGAATTGCACATATTCTGTAAGAATGGAGAAGAATATGCTTGAAGAGAACTAGTTTTTATCCCATAATAACACTAACATTTTCTGTGATTTCTTTCCCCATCAACATTTTAACATTGGTGATTCAGGCATTTTCAAGCTGCTGAATTGATGAAGGAACATGAACTCATAATTCTAAGCTGTCAAACACTAGAGTATCCACTCTGAAATCTCCATTTGTAATGCCACAGTGAGCTTGTGTGTAGATAGACTTTGCTACTGTTTAACAGTTTTTTTTTTCATTTGCTTGTGTACAAAAAATAAATGCAGATTACAGCAGGACCCTAACTCCATACATTCTGCTGTGCAGTGTAACCATCAGATCATATTAAACTTGTTTGTAACCAACATTGTGAATTTCTGTAACTATTGCTAAAGGAAAAAAAAATATGATAAATATATAGTCATACAGATTTTTGTAGACTTTGTTGCTCTTTTTCTTTCTGTGTCAGTGTTTTGTTCAGTGTGTCAATTTCTGTAATTTTATTATTGTGCTTTATTTTAGGAATTTATAAGCTTGTGATTCCACATATTTTTCTATTTTAAGTTGAACTTTAACTGATTGGCAATTTTCATATTTGAGTTTTTAACTATTTGCTGGAATGAACTGGACATGCAGGCATAGTGACCTGTAGTTCTTATTCAACATATTTTTGATTAGTCGCACATTAAATTGAGACTATTTAAAAGTGTGCACTAATAAACAGTAACCCATATTGATGATTTAACAAGGTAAACTACATGTCCAGTACATTATTATATGAAATCCACATTCACAGTGATGTCTCTGTTTCGGAGAGCTTTCAGTATTCATGTCCATGGTTGGGAATAGACCTTGCTCATTGAATGTTGTAATGGGGTATGTTTATACAGGTGTCTGTTTTGATTAGTGGTCAAAATGAACAGATTTAATTGATCCTTTGGCCATGGAGAATGAGCTGCTTGTTATACTGTTGACATTCTACAGTCTGTGTATACTTTCCAAGACCACAAGAGGGCACAAGAGATAGAGATTTTTTTTTCTTTTGCTTTACCAGTGACACAAACCTTGAGTTGTAAAACCTGTTTGCAATACCTATGTGAATTTTGCAACAGTATCTGTATCACATGTAGACAAAAAAAACCTTACAGAATTGACAGTCCTAGTATCTATAAACAAAATGGTGAGAAAAGCATTTATTGTGTTGCAGCCTAGTGTACTGCAGCTGCACTGCCACCCTGTAGAGCTGAACTTATTGAGGCACTAGCAGGGAATTTACATATTTTGCATACATATGTTTTCTTATGTGTTTATACATGGAGCATAAAATAGGTCCATACCATCTAAGTCTATATCCTGACATCTATTTGTACCAAAATAAAAACAGATGTCTACGCCATAGACTGCATTCTGTATGAGGCTTGAACACCACAGTGCTTCTTTCAGTCTACTGTCACTCGACTGGAACAGACTGAAAGGGGGACAACTGGGATGATGCTGAAGAAGCTAAAATAAATGGTGAGTGGTGTCACAAGAAGATGTAAATTTGACTTTATAAAGTATTTTATAATGTCAAGTTTTTGTGTAGGTTATTACCTAGTGCACACTTAGATAAAGATATCAGAATGTGATTGTCTTAATTAGTTTGATGTTCACACCTTTAATGCCTCAGCCAAAGACAACTTCAGTATGTCATAATTACACATCAGGAACTTATTTACCCTTTAACAGCTGATAGCGGAAAGAATGACGCAAATAAACCAAATACTAGGGTGAGAGACATTTAGGGTCCGTTTGTAAAATCAGCATGTTTTGATGAAAGAAAAACCATGAAAGGTGTAAATAACAAAATGTCATAATTTGACCATTGCTTTGAAGACACATTTCATGCTCCTTTAATAGGTTTGTCTATACATGCTGTTCAAGTGAATTTAGCTACGTTAGGTACCTGTGAAATTCATTTCTGAAATCAGTGCAAATAAAAATACATTAATTGCGGCATTTTACAGAATAACATGTTCAATCCTAGTGGGATCTCGATCCAATCATACGTCTCTGTAGTAGGTAAACGTTGCCAGATTATTAAGTATTTAACCAATAAGCATTTTGCTTTCACAGGAAAATGATTAACAGTGAATACAGTCACAGTTGTCCGCTTAGACCATCCCCCAAAAATGTCCTTTCCTGAACCAATATGGCGATAGTTTACGTCCCCCTACCTTGTCACGTGATGGAGCATCGATCATGTGATTAAGTATGGAGGCGTTGGCAATGAGAAGCGTCATTCGTTGAAGGGGGATTGGGAACATCCACACAATAAACGGAAAAGGCAACAGGCACCTTTATCTCATGTTGGTGTGAAATGAGGGCAACATGGGGGCCAAAGAGTCAAGTTTAGGTTTCCTCTCGTATGACGAGGCTGTAAAGAGAGGTAAGTGTTCTCTATAGCTTGCTAAAATAATGACACTGTTTTGCGAGTCAGATTTGCTAGCTAGTTGGACTGTCAAAAGAGAGCTGTCAGGGAGGGATAAGGTGGGACTGTAGAAAGCTAGTGAGCGTTAGCTAGCTAAGACCTAAGACAAACTACAGTGGCAACCAAGCTTTCCTCCCAGCTGTCATTGAGCGAAGGTGGAGAGCAACAACCGACTATGTTTGTTTCCAGTTTTAATATTGCTTTTTTTATGGGATGTAGCAAACTATCTGTTTCACTCCACTATCTTTGCATTGTTAAACAGACATTGCACGTCAGTGATGTTGTTGTTACCAATTAGCTGACAATCTATAGCCATCTAAACAATTGTTCAGTCAAATTCTTATCACTCGTGTTCGTGGTCGTGTATTTGTGTAGCTGTGTCGTCTGTTTGTTTTTAGGAAGCACCACAATAGCTTAGGAAACTGCTATCCTTAACTAAACCTCCATGTCGGTAGCAAGCTAATGAATATAGCCAACTTAGCTAGCTATCGCTATTGCTACAGGCTATGAAAAAGACGGCATTCTGCCTCACCACTAATGATGTAAACAGTTAGCTAGACAGCGTTGGCTAACTTACCGGACGAATAAGAAACTGACGATTCAGATGAACGATTTGAAAGCACGGTGGGATGTGTGTCAGTGAATAGCAGCAAGCAAGCACATAAACAACATCGATGACAGAAAATTGGTAGCCCTTTTAGCTGGCAAGATACTTTCAGCTGTTTTATAGATAGCTGCTACACAGCCCCAAGGTTTCATGAAATTGCAGCACTATCAGTAAACCAGTGAATTAACAATGTAAACAATGCTCTCATTAAAGGTCTTGCTACTAAACAAATTAAATTTCCCTGGAATATATTCTTCCAAGATTTTATCATACCCAACAGAAATCAATCTGCGTTATCTTGTACATTGATGGTTTAGGTGTGACAGTGCATTCAGGCCTGGTAATAAAGGTCAAATAAGATGCGTTCTTATTGTTCACTATGAAACGAAATCAGATTCAAAACTCCATTGCCTTTGTATTAGAAACGTTAAATCAAATAAAGTAACCTTTGGTACTGCGTGCTAATTGTGCCTAAACCACTGTCTATGACAGTATGTTCGAACTTCGCTATTGAGTATGCTGATTATCATTACCATGGAAATTGGAAAAGTGCGGCTTCATGGACCGATGATGAGGGCAAAAGCATACTGTCAATCACTGACTTCTGTAAACGAATCAAAGTGCTTTGTCTGCCATAATCAAACACTGTTTTGATGAAAAGAAACTGAGATATGAATTGCACATGACCGCTCCATCGGGGTTCTTTGAGCTTTATTCAACATACATAGGGATAGGTTTGATTACTGACGTACTGCAGCGGTTTTGGCTTTACAGTACAGTTATTTAGCGGACGCTTTTATCCAAAGCGATTTACAGTTGATTAGGTTAACCAAGGACCATTCCCGCCCTGGGAATAATGTGGGGTTGGGGGCCTTGCTCAGGGTGTTCTGCCTAGGATGGGACTTGAGCCACCAACCTCAGGTGTCCCAATCCTGTACCTAAGCCACTAGGCTACAGGCAGCCCCACACTTGCCAGGAATAAGCTGTTTGGTCTTGTGTGGTTCGAAGGGTTTTTGTGCTAACAGACAGAAACGAGTGAAATTTATTTTTCTTACTTATGCTATTTTTTGTCTTCAACAGATTAATGTCACAAATCAGTATGCAACTGTAATTTGTTGTTTATTTTGGGAAAATAGCCTTTATGTTATTATTTTTTATCTGCAGGGCGGGGGAATAGAATGTTGAATTGTTTATTTAGCTCAGTGGTATTTGCCTCAGATTGGCTCAAGAAAAAGATTGCGGCTGATAAAAATTGTTGAATAAATACCATTACATACATCTTTTATTTGTGAAAATATGTGCACAGAAGCATTCATATTTTGAGCAGTTTGTGATGCTGATTTTGAGGTGCTGCTTATGTATTTGGTTTATAGATTAACCATTCTGGAATACCAAATCCCACCACATAGTGGTTCAGACCATTTTTTTCAATCTCATAACAATATCTTGCACGGCAAACTATATAGTTGCTTTGGTTTAAAAGGTCAAGAAGCTATCAGAGATGAAACATGTCTTTCGCCATTAAACCTTTAATACCATATGTGGTATCGGAAGTAATTAATTAGAAATGGGAATATTTACAAGAGAATTTCAGTAATGCTTTGAAATCATGTCAAATTGGTGGTGCTTTTATGTTTTACTGAAGACTTTGGAAGTACTTTGTTCTCTCCATTACCTCACCTGCTCGCTTGCAGGTTTCCACTGTCCCAAACGTCATGTGCCTGGAAGCCTGTCACGTCTACTGATGGTAAATTATGAGGATAACTGTCTCAAGTAAAGAAAACATTAGACCACTGAATCGGTTTCTGTTTTTTTTCCCCTACTTCCTTTCTGTACTTACGAAAGTGGGGCAAGATAATGAAAGTTATTTTTTCTGTAGATAATTAGCCTAAGCTTCCTTACCATATATATATATTTTTTTACACAAAATGACCCATTTACTGCAGGTTACTGCACAGGCTCTTGGTGCAGCTACACTGCTTCTCCAACTTGTCCACAGTTTTAATCATCAATCCATGTGAATGAAAACAGAAACGCAATGCAGCAGTCTCTCTTAGAGGCTGTTCACTTAACCTATTCCCTGTGGGATGCAAATTTGTGAGGGGGGCTCTGCAGGAGACAATGAAGTGCAATAGGAGCTGTCGGTGAACAGCGCCAGTGGTGGGGAGGCTGTATGTTAATATGTTAAGTAGCTGGCTGGGTGCTGCTGAGCAGGGGAAACACCCCCTGCAAGGTTCACCACAGCATGATGAAGGTTTTCCGTAGCAGCGGTGTCTCCTTTTGCTTTCCATTGCCCTCCACAGACGACAGCTTATCGGGTGATGGTGTCAAATCAAAACTGCCTCAGGGGATTTCAAGAACAGTGTGATGTTATCAGGTTTTTTTTTTTTTTTTTTACTTCCCCCTTCTGGTCATTTTTATCAGTAATGTTGGTTAGGTCGCGGGAAAAAGTGTGAAAAGGCGTTTTGATTTTTTTTTCCCTCACTGTCTGTAGCTTCGCTGAGCTGAAGCAGGGTCTGGGCTGGTGTTGTCAGCAGAGACTGAAGTGGAATAACCAACTGTAGTGTGAGTCTGTCAGGTTGTGGACAGAGGATGCAGCAAATTTAGTCAGCAAATCAAAGTATAAAACTGCATTCATAGCCTATGACCAGATTAAACATGTATGTATCAAGCAATATGTTTGTTGTTTTCATCAATTTCATTATGGCATATAACCTTTATGAGTAAGTGTATTCAGCTCATGGAACAACTGCAAGATTTTATTACTTTTTTACAAAAACATTTCGGTTTACATTACCCCCCAACATTTCTGTGATGTCTGAAGGGTAATGTTACTGCTATTTAGGCCATGTTTATTTTTCGTCCCCAATTTACCCAGCCGTGCAAGGATAAGCAGGAGCCATAAAATCATGTTCCAAAGAAGATTCCCAGCTTTTTTCATGTTGGTATATCATGAGTTTGTTTTTGCCGATCAGAGTCCTGTGAGGTACAAATGGGCTGAGAGACCTGAACTCTGCCATTGCTCTTCAGCCTGTTGATAAGAACTCTCTGTCCCGGCCGATGGCGCTTTAAGCTGTGGAGCCAGGCGATGTCATTCAGGCTGCGGTGTCAGTAGAGGACAAGCTGGAGCGTTTAGAACGTACAGTGACTGTTGATAAACACGCAACCGCTTCCTCTCTTATCAGCTGACCCGTGGAGCATGGCCTGTCACTAAAGGGGTAGCGTGGCTCTGTGAAGTGCAGAATTAGCCTTGCAGTGGGATTACCCCCTGCACATTCAATACAGGGGCCTTGTCGCATTACAATGCCTAACATACTGACATGAGTTAAAACTGATAACAATATCATACACATTTAATAGTTATGTATATCGTATGTCAGAAGCTATAATGAACCATATTTAATGAGGAAGGAGAGTATTAAAAATATTCATGTATTCCTGAATCATTGTACTGTACGTATGCTGTTTAGGATATGAAATGCTCTGTACAGGTGTGTTCTCTGTGTACCTTTGCCATTGGTTTCTCTTGTGCTACACCACCTCTTGTCACATTGTTGAATGTGTAGTCGTAAAAGGGTAATTCTTCATATGATTGCCATTTTTCTCAAATGTAAGTGGACACATTTCCTACCTTGGTGGGATTGTTTGTCCTAAAGCTGTAGAAGCAATTAAACAAGGATGCTTGCATTCTGTAAACATTCTTATATAGATTGTGTAAATTCTGTAATTCTGAAATTATAATGTCCACATGCATTATTTATGTTGATTTCCCACCAGTCTTGAACCAGGAATGTAAAAATACAATTTCAGTGTATGCTGATGTAACATTTTTCAACAGTTTTATTAAATTTAAAAACAATGTATCTAATGAAGAGCACAAATGGAAAGCTGGGGGCAGGTTTAGAAAAGTGAGGTGTTTTAACAATGGTGACGTGATGGACAGGCTTCCACATGGCCTGCCACACAGCCACAGCCTACACCTTTTATTTGCATTTGTTGTGGTAAACGGAACATTTAATTTGCTTTAAGACATAATGCTGTGGTTTGCACTGGAAGTGATTTGCACAAATTCCCTGAGACCAGACCAGACCAGGCCAGTTTGTGACTGGGTGAGAGAGGGTACAAGTCACCTCAAATGCTGTTACAGTACAGACAAGACATTCTATTCTTAGTTGTTGAAACAGAAAAATATATTGTAGACAGTTTGAATATTCTCCAGTAATGTCCCTTCAAGCCTTTTCTGTTTTGTATTTCTTTTTTTTTTTGTTAAAATGTGTTTAGTGGTGATTGATTGATGCCTGTAATATAGATTTCACTTGCAAATAACTAGGCAATCAATAATGTGAGTGTCTGACTGCTTAAAGTGCCATCTCTCCTCCAGTTTAGACATTTACCCCTGAAGGCAGAGGGGGATGGAGGCATTCTAGGGCAAGTGGTTGCCTTCTCCTGCAGCAATTGGATTACTCTGGCTTTTAGGGGTTCTCACATTAGTTTTTCACCAGAGAATAACCTTCTTTCCCCGATTTAATAACTAGCATTGCAGATTCCTAAGCTACATGCTGCTAACCACCCTTGTTTTCTGCAGATGTCTCCATAATGCATCAAACCATTTTAAAAAATATTTATACAAAAACAAACAAACAGTTGAGTTCAGTCTCCTTGGATCATGCGCAAAGCAACAAAAAAAAAAGGTTAGACAGTCTCCATTTTCAGAGACAGCAGCCTGGTCTACCCCAAGTGTTGTGAATGTAATAATAAACATGTCAGTTATAATTATGCTGATAATACCTTGCATTCACATGTTGTATTTAATCCAATGATCTCTTAAATCCCTTTATTCTGATGGGCTAAATCCGCTTTCTCACTTGGTGTGTGTATCGCCTTCTTGTGTTGTGTGGAGCTGTATTTAGCACCAGAGTGCTCATTGCTCGTTGCCAGTTTACTCCACAGTATTCCTTCAAGTCCACACACAGGTGCTTGAAGGCCAGCTGTTTGCATCAGGCATGGACATAAACATTACAGTGCCTGTTAGCTTTCCAGATTTAGTGGTAGCCGGGAGCAAATGGTTAATAAGATGTGTTACTGGAGACAGACATTTTCCATTTGATTGGAATCTCAGGGGCAATGTGCGCTGGCTTTGCCATCAACTGGCCGATAACTCAGCTGCAGTTTCCTGGCTTTATTGGATAATTTAGCTTCTTCTTTTCTCCATTAAAATATAATGTGTCTCCAAACACTTGTACTCATTAACAGCCCAGCTCTGTCTCCCTCCGTCCGCCTCTGAGGGTGATATCAGTTGTCAGTGAGGATTTGAGAACAGTCAGTTTTCCGAGCTGTTCCAAAGCTGCCTGAGGACTTTCTATTCACAGAGTCCCCTCTGTGCCTGGCAGTCAGGTTTTCATCTGATGGAGAATCGCCTTCTGCTGTTTTTTAGGGCTGCTTCCATTTTCTACTGCCAGACAGAAGCATATTTAAGAACTCGCTCACTTTAATAACTCTGCCATCGAAACCATAACCTGTTGGAAGTTTACTGCTGAAGGTTGGCTGTGGGCCACGGCCGTTCTGTCCAACACAGAATCCAAGAAAGCCTACATCTTTCCTTAGTGTCTTTGAATAGATTGCCTCATGTGGACCTGAACAGTGTCTTAAAGCTGATGTCTTCCCCCGCATTTTCACAAGGAAACTAGTCCTGGTACCCAGGTGGTGAGATCTCAAGATGCTCTCCACATACTTAAAGCGGTAAAACATGGCGAGCCAGGCTACTGGGAAATAAACTCTGCAGCTTAAGTCTAGTAATAAATGAATTCACCGCTACTGGTAAGAGTAAGAAGATTAGTGGCAGAGTCTCCAGTTGCTTTGATGTTGTGCTCCTCAATCTTGGTCCATTTGATAAACAGTGTCTGTTGGGGTTTTTTTTTTTTTTTTTTTACCATAGATCATAAGGACCCAATCTAAAATATT